CTTGTAGCAACCGTGGCTCTTGTGACCTCACCTTGACCTCCAAGTACGTGTTTGGTACTGCTTGTGGGGAAAAAAATTAAAATGGACGTCACAGTAATTTCAAATAGCTGTTCCTGCAATACCTATGCTATAGGCCAGGGGTCTCCAAACTTTTCAGTCCGAGGGCCGCATTAACTATCAAATTTTAGTTCGGGGGCCAGTTTCTTCGAGGCATGTCTTTGATTTTTCTGGGCAAAGTTCCTCAGCCATCACTAACAAACGATTTTTCCTTGGACAAAAAGATCTCCGCGGGCCGGATGAGAGGACTTCGCGGGCCGCATCCGGCCCGCGGGCCGTAGTTTGGAGACCCCTGCTATAGGCCTACAGATTAAAAAAAACAACTGAACTCAACGTGACTCCGAAGAAAAAATACGACATGGACTGTTATTAATAAGGGGTCTTCCATAAACAACGTCACACTCGTAGTGGGGGGGGGGGGGGGGTCCGTAATTTTGTGACGTGCAATGAGGGGGAGGGGGTCAGATAGTGTGACGTCATATTTTTTTATTTTAAAAAAGTAATGTTAGAAACTGAATTTTAGCCGCTATTACGCGTTTTAGAAAACTTTTTAAAAAATTGTAATATAAATTAATTAAAATACCCTACTTTGGTCGAGCTCAGTCAATATTTTAGAAAAAAAATCGATGTTTAAAAAAAAAAAATTCAAATTCAATATTGAGGAGGGGGGAGCGGTTGTTGGATGAGGTGTGACGTCATTTTAGGGCGGAGGGGTCTGTCTTTTGTGATGGAGAGGAGAGGAGAGGTAAAAATCGTAAAAAAAAAAAAACGTGACGTCATTTATGGATGACCTCAAACAATTTATAGTTAAGCCATTCCAAAAACAAACAATTTACAGTTAAGCCATTCCAAAAACAAAAATAACAATCGAAATGGTTAACTTTGGTTCACATATCAGACCCTTTCTAATTTCAGCTAATCTGGTCATTTTCATTTTCCATCACCTGAACCCAAAACTTTCAAATTACAATTAATCTGAATCTAGGCATTTTACAGTTGAAGACTAACATTTTTACCATGCCAATCTTTAAAAGAATATAAGGTATAATTTAAAATTGAAAACAAAAGTGTAACTAGACTACATTAGTACACTTTAAATTAGCTAAATGTTGAACTTAATTGCCACTTTTGTTACATTAAAATTGTAATTTTTTTTAAAAAGTTGTTTATAAGTTAAACATTAAATTGCAATTCGACAAGACTTTCAATGTCATTTTAGAGTAACATAAACTTCTTTTATTTATAATATTAGCTATAATAAACGATTAATTAGAACAGTAATGGCGTGAGACTGCTTTAACTGCGATTAAAAAAATAGATAAAACATATTGAGTTCTTGTCCAAAGAAAATTTCCTAATTTTTTTCCCTGGTCTGGTCACATCCCTGCACAGTACACACTCAATGTCCAGCCAACACAGTATTTACTCTCTTTATAACGCCAACACACTACATAGTCATTGTACTTTATATACTGCCAAACACATTACACATCTCCACACTCTATGTGCACAGGATACTGAAAACTGACATATTTATTCTTGTGATTGTCTTAGATTTGCACTCAGTCTTTGCATTCCCAACTGCGGTATCTGTTTCAGACTTGTAGTGTAGAAACAGAAACATTTTTATCTACTTTTTAAAACTTGTATACAATGTGCTTCACCGACTTGTTAGTCTGAGTTTGTAATTTTGTCCATTGATTCTGATATCTGTGCTCTATTCGGCCTGACAAAAGCACGTAAGCTTGTTATGCCGTGTGGGCGCGTACACTGAATATTTGATATCCCACACACCACCTCATACTCCCATTCGGCGGTGGTGTCCTCACTGGCTCGATCGTGTCAAATGGTGGTTTTTAAATCTGTTGTAGGGGTGGCCAAAACTTGTTTCTCTGGTTTGTTGTAGTTTTACAATAAAATGGCCTCACATAACCCGTAGAACTAGCCCAATAGGTGTACTAGTTACTCTCGAAACCTTCCAATGTTTTTGTTAACAATAGAGTACTCATACAGTTATGAAGACATCACTCACGGATTGCAAATATCGGAAATAATTAACTACTCAATCTCTGATCTAAGTTTTTTTTTCAAAAGCCCTAACCCATTTTCTGTAACCAGATTTTTTTGTAGGTCGGCCTGTAATTATCCTGTCAAATGCTTGACCTATGAATGTAATATTCATACCCGATCAGTGTCTTGCCGAGCGATCTCATCTTCTCCAAGAGCCAGCAGACGGCGTAGTTCATTGTCTACTCGCATTCATATTACCCTTCTCGTGCCCATATCTTTTTGACCACTCAAATCAGATGCGCACCGGCGTTAAGGAAAGGGGAGGGGGGTGTGCGCGCGGTAGAGCCATAACGGTATTACGTGAGTGCGATATTTGCTAATATCTCTTGGGGATACGTGCCACCCCACTTGTCCCGGCACGTTATTTATATTTTAATCTTGTAGATGGCCAGGACAATTTACCCAAGCTTGTACTGTGTTTGCTGCACACATCCATGTCTTGTACGTCTCTACATCAAGCTAAGCACGCGATATATGTATGTAGATGGGGAGAAAATGTCTTGACGTGCGTCCTGAGATGGTTGAACACCTTGAGATTGGGCATGTTGGCACGTCGTTGTGAGAGGATTGTAGCGTACTTGGGTGAGAGGGTGTGGGGCCTTGATGGAAACATACATGTGGGGCGCGGCTATTGATCGCTGCACTCACCGCCCAATCGAATGTAACTGTAAGCGTAGATATTCATACAGTAGTTTTTACACACGGGGAGTCTGATGGACATCTCGCACTTGACAGAATTGACTGGTTAGAAATGTAAAAGCGCAAGCTTGAGAAAAAGCCATTGCAGTAGAAAATCTAAATTGGAATTATTTTTCCCGTGGGCTGTTTGTTTAGCTGTTCACCGTAAGAATCGGAGTAAATTGGATTAATCAGTTTTAGACGTTCAGACCATCTATAGAAGCAATACAATGTGTGGCCGGGGATTAGCTTTCTGAGCATTGTGTGATAGTATGTATGTTCTCATTGTATGTAAAATTGCGATCACGGAAAGGGACTTGTTATAACTTATAAGAAGTCAAATCTCCCCAAGGACTATATGACTTAGTGAGTTAGTGTGGAGAACCACACCCGCCGTGTCCAGCTAGACCTGGTGTGGAACTGTAGTTAGGAGCATGTTTATTTGAACGGAAGTCGATTTAAAAGCTGTATGTGAGAAGTTTTGAGGGAGCTGAGGCGGATTAGTGGACGTCCACACACAGAGATTTCGTCAATGGGGTCGGAATTTTTTTGTGGTCTAATAAAGTGAATGACCCCCCCCCCCCCACCCCCCCCCCCCACATCTTAGTTTACGTCTACAATGTGTTAAAAGATCAATACATTTAAAACTTCACTACTGTTTGAATTTACCAACAAAGACCAAGCAAATAACCGTGTTATCATCTTCACCTTTCAATACAAAGAAGAGCTCTGTTTACATGAAGGGTCGAGCTACTACTCTTCTACCTACTCTTTGATTAATTAAACCAGCTCGCTTTGTAGTTTTTATTTCCCTATATTCTGGTCGCTTGCAGCCGATGTAATCAAATGAAATGTAAGTCGTGTGGGCGTCTAGCGTGGTATTGCGACACAATTACTGGAGCTGCCTGTTCCTTTCATTATTGACGGCCCGTTTCACATTGTATTTTATTTTAAAACAATGTCGCTTCATCAGAGGCACCTGTTGGTTAAGTGCCGTCACGCACAGTGGGAGGGACTTGACTCTCGATTGGGGGAGGGGGGAGTGAACAATGTTATTTTGCATACGAGCTATTAAATCGCTTACCAATGAAAACCTTTTTAAAGTATTGATTTTCGTTAAAATTATTTTTTACTTAAGAGAGTGGGACGTTTTATTTGGGCGAGGATGGATGTGCTAAAATGTCGTTAATGGACGACACTTATGAAAGGGCGCCAAGTTTGAAATCCCTAATGCATTGAAAGGTGTCCACTAGACGAGTGTTTTAACAGTTTCCGCCCTCAAGTTTTACACGAGCTTGTTTTCTTTTCGTTGAACATCTGACACGAGTCCATAATGTCTGGACTCGACCTTCATCACGACCCCTCTCTCCATGAGTTCTAAGACAAAATTCAAGGCTGAGTTTAATAGCCGAGGCTATCCGTCCTTGTCTCCTTACGTTGAACAAGCCAGTTTTAGGTTTAGGCTTAACATAAATAAAACCCATCGATCTGTGTACTGCCGCCGTGGCGAGCTATTCTGGGAGAGAGAAAAAAATTGTTCCACCAGGCGGGGTAACTGGTGGTGTACTGGTCGGGAGGGGCGAATGATCTCCCTTGTCTCACGCGAATTATACCTCCTCTTTCTAAATAAAAAAAAATAAGCGACTAATTAAATTAGTTTATGAATGACTGCAGTTAATTGTTTGCTCTGTAGTAGCACTGCTCAGCTTTTTTCAGCTGTTTGTCAATGTATTGTTAACTTGCCCACTTATATAGTTTGTTGACCACTGGTAGCTTACTTGAACATCAGTCTATAAGATACTAGTAGGAGCATGATCCAACGTATTGGTACTACTACATATTAGAACCTATTCTAGTTCAACCTGTATCAACTTCTGTGTCTTGTTCATTATTCTGTGTTAATGTTGTGCACTTAGGCGGGCTGGGCGTGCAGCTAAAAGATTAAGACCACACCTATTACTCTCCACAGCTGTGTTTTAAGTTAACCAGAGCTGTATACCACCAAGTAGATGTTAATCAGCTAGAAGTTTAATACACAAAAGGCAATTGTTTCTGAAATGATACCATCTTGCTGGTATTGGCAATCAAAGTCAGCAATAGATAACAAGAGTAACAGTGCTGTTTCTTTTATTTCAGTTTCCATTTTAACAGCTCTAAAAACAGCATTTTAACTTGTGCTCTGTTTATATTTTCAGGTTAAAAGAAAACAAACAAACACAGGGCCATGCCACACATCAAGCGGCTCATTGAGCCGGTACTGGTCAGCCGCAAGCCACTTGACCTTGATGTCCGTGATGACCTTGAATGTACGACCAACAACACATTAGCCAATGTGATCAGGGAGCTGAGTTCACTGAGCAGGAACGCTGAAGATCTGTTTAGAGAACTCTCCAAAGAAACATTAGATGTTTTCAATCGTGGCAGGAATCTGATGAACAGGATAGAGGATGTCAGGGAGAAAGTTACTCAGCTCAATCCTAATGTGGATGTCTGTAAGTTCTTTTCTTGATCATTGGAATTACATACTGTTTAAGGAGCTTTAAGTATATTTTTTTTAATAACAAGAAAGTCTTATACAAAAATAAATACCTTCTATTGAGGAGCAGTGTACAGGGCAGTGTGGGTGGATAGGCCTGTTAGATTTTTTTTGGGGTTTAAACACCCTTGGCTAGCACAGATCTGCTGCCAGGCATGTAATGCTGGATTCACAAGTATATCTGTGACAGAGAATATTTCACCACTATTTACAACAAAGGAATCACAGGAATAAGTGTGTGTAAGGGGGAGGCACAATGGTGTAACCAGGTTTTAATGTGATATTGAACAGACCATCTTTTCAAAATGGTTATTGTATCGATAAGGATATCAGATATTTTTTTAAAGTAGAGTTGTGAGGTAATGATGAAGATTAAAAAATGTAAAATGTTTTTTTTTCAGTGAATCTCCAGGACATTCACTTACAGAAACCTTTCAAAAGTTCCAACAAGAAGGAGCAGCAAGTGCTGTCTAAAACAACAGTGCCACGGGCCATACTTGAAGTGTATGAACGATGTGATGCTCCCCCAGCCCTGGACAAACTGGACAAGTTTAGGTTTGTTACTATGATCAAGTCTAGCTTGAAGTAAAATAACCCTTTTCAGCCTTATTGTCCATGGTGCCGGTGAAGTAGAGTTCACCAGTTTCAGTGACCTCAGCATATGAAGGGATAATGTGGTCAGCACTATGCCTAGCTGTCTTTCCCTAATGTAAGAGGTGCCCATCAGAGCAGGGTGGACTCAGGGACATCCTATGGACTCTCGCTTGGAATCCAAACTCAAAACTTGAACTTGCCTCGTTAACTAATTTTTTTCTTTTTAGGGAGGATGGCAAAAGCAGCATGAAGTTCTACACAGACCCCAGCTACTTTGCTGAGCTGTGGGCTATTGAAATGGGGAAACAGATTCAAGAAAATAAAAAATTACATGAACAACGAAGGAAAAGAAATGAAGTAAGAATTTCAATATTTGTTGTCCTTAGGTGTATTTTTAAGTTTAAATAAAATGTAATATTCCTTGATTCAGTTTAGAAAGATCCTATGTTTATTTAGCTAGCATCAATAACACAGTTTTAAAATTTCAAGTATCCAAATGTTTTAAGTAGTGCAGTGAATATACCAGCATTTAGAATGGTTTTATCATTGTGAGTAGTTTTTTTTTACTAACACAAGTTGTAGACAAAGCACCTTTCTTTACTCTTACCTGTTTGATCCTACTGAAAAGTTCGTGTGTTTCAGAGAACACAAGAAAAGAGGGCACCTCACATTAAGGAGGCTAAGGCTAATATCAGAGAGAAACATAAAAAAATGCAAGATGGTATTGAACTCTCAGATTACCAGGTAAGATTTTTTATTTTGGTTTTACTCTTCTAAATAAAACTTCAACTCATCAAAAAATATTTTCACTGTTAGCAAGCAATAGGACTGGTAAGTAGGTCACCAACCAGTTCTACGGCTCATGCTGGTTTTATTGAGCCGTAGAATTGGTTGGTGACTTACTTACCAGCCCTATAACAAACAAAAAAGTAATTGAAATAATATTTTAGCAAAATTTTTAACCTTACAAATTTAAAATCCATTTTGGACATTGTTTTAAATTTAGAAAATTGTAACTGTTGAATATGATATTGAATGTATATTGAATGTATTTATAGAGCCCACAAGCACTGAAACAGTTGACTGGAATAAGTCACACTGATGTGGCTGATCAAAGACAAGCAGAGCTGGATCGTATGAGAGCACAAGAGGAACAACAGAGAAAGCTCCATGAGCAGCAACTGGCAGACCAGAAACAGGCAGACCAGAGGAGGCATCAGGAACAGCAGCGCTTACAGCACCAACAGTCACAGCAACTCAAATACGGTCAAACACAGCATATATCTAACTACGATCCAGCTCAGAACCACCCAGTTCATCCCAGCAGCATGGTGATGGATCGTAGCTCTGTTCCCATTCAGTATCCTCCGCAACCTGAGTTACTGCCACAGGTAGCAGTAGATTGTTGTGTTTAAATGTTTTTGTTCTATGTTAGTTTATGTCACAAACAAAAATATCTATTTTGTGGCTTCATTTTTTTTTTTTACAAACTGTTAGTTGCAGTTAAAAATCTTGACTTGTATTATTATTGTACCTAACTTTTAAGCTACCACCGTAATAAAAAAAACTACCTTTCTATCTGAACAGTCAAAGTACTCACCCGGCAAGATACCTAATGGCGCGACTGGTGGTAAAAAACCAGCACAGGGTCCACATAGGCCGATGGGTCCACCTCCATCTCCACCCCCACCTCCCATTCATACGAGAGACAGTTTGCCACCTCCACCATCACCACCCCCAGTGAATGAGATGGACCCCATGCCTCCTTATATAAGTACACCACCATTCAACAACCGAACAATGCAAGGGGGTGGATCATCCATAATAATTGGGTAAGTTTTTAAATAAATCTTAGTCACAACATTTGTTGAAGATTTATAATGTTCATTATATGATAAAATAATTATTACATTGTTCAAATTTCTCTTACTGTTGTGTATACAAATGTTAATCATTGCTTTTTTTTTTTCTTTGAGTAGACCTGCAAGAACAGCATTACCCACTCCTCCACCATCACCAACACGTACGCAAGCGTATCCTGGTTCTTCCGGTGGTCCAGCATTCATGCCACCTCCATCACCACCTCCACCACCCTTAATGCCCAATCAATTTCCACCCCCGCCACCGCCGCCCCCTCCACCACCCCCACCTCCCCCTCCTCCAGTAAGTACTATAAATGGAAGCATTAATTCTGATTCATCAACCAACTCTACGGGCCTGCCTGCCAATGTGGATAAGCCTCAACCTGGTGGTGATAGAAGTGCATTGATGATGGAAATCATTCAAGTTGATAGTGAGTTTTTCATCTCATTCAATCAGATCTAGCTAACTAAACTGCTATTACTTTAGCCACTTTTTAAAACAACACTACACTAAATTGAATGACACCATTTTTAGCAATTTTGTATGCTGATTTAGATCTCATTTTAATTTAAACCTTTGATAATAAATTATAAACAAAACCATGTTTATCAGCTGCTAGAAAACTCCAGCTAATAATATTAACACAAAACAAATGTAAATTGTTCTGAAGTTTCACTCTTTTATTTTATCACTAGGAAACAAGAGGCTACGCAAAGTAGAAGAAAGAACACATAAAAAACAAGCGCCAACGGCTCCAGGTGCTTTGGATGTCCAGGCTTTGATGGACAAGGCTATTGAAATGAGGCGCAAAGTGATAGAGATAAGTGATAGCGGTGGGGAAGAGAGTGACAGTGGAAACGACTGGGGTGATTCTGATTAATGGACTCAAGTTGGTTTTTCTTTAGCAACACTACACTGTACTTCTCCACAGAAAATGTTTTCAGTTTTTAAAAGTGATTTTCTTTCTTCTGATGTTCTCAGGAATCAAACACACTCTCTCTTACCCAATTAGCTAGGAGTCTCCAGATACCTATGAAACAAATTGACTGTTATATTCCCCCTAAATTAAGGCTCGGAGTTGATGTAATGAATCTGCTAGTTGAACTAGAGATGTTAATTTATACACATTGTTTTTGTTTCATACATTAGCTGTGTAATAAGAGCCGATTTTGTTAAGAGTGATGCATGTAATAATTTTATGAAGTGTTAATTATTTTAAAAAAAATTATGACAGAATTTAATTTTTTTTTGTAAAATTGAAAAAAAAAGAAAATTTACAAATGAGCAACAAACTTTGATGTGTATATAAATTTTGTAAATTTATCACTGTGGTACTGAGGTCCAGCTTTTGTGAATTAGTTCAGAGCTGCAAGAGTTTAAGAGAATCCCATATTGCAAATGTACTGTTTTTGTCGTAGCCAAGACTCATCACAATATCTTCCTTTCGAGAGGTCTTAAATTAATACACTGACTCTTACAATAATCAATGCAGCTCTTAAGAGAGTGAGTGTATATTCTAGACTTGCAATCTTGTACTGATTTTACATACTACCCACTCTATTTAGTCATTCTATAATCAGTTACCCCTATTCTTTACACATTTTGAATTTATTTAAACCCTATGTACCTGTACAGCCTACCTAAGAGAAGATAACCGAACAAATGGGTTAACTCCCATTTACTTCATTACTACTGTGTTAGAGATTTTGATGCTGTCATACAAGATTGAGCTATGTTATGTAGAAGGTTTACTTTTGTATATCAAAATCAACTAGAGATTTTTAATAGGTTTTAATATTTATAACTTAATTAAATAGTTTTTGTAAGATTTTCCTGAAAATAGCGTAATTAACCATGTTTGCTTAACATCTTTTAAATCTCTTTTTTTTTATGATTATTGAACTGTTGATGTCAGATTTTAACCCAAAACTTTGTCTTAACAAATTTTCTTATCTAAAAGTTGTTTGTGATTTTAAACATAATTTTCTTTTTTTTTGCCACCTCAATATTCTCATTTTTTTTAAACGACTGCTACTATGATAAGTTATATTAACAAATTAAAATATTAGATGCACAGGATTATTATTCAAAGTGTATATTCTTTGTTGTTTAACTTTACACTTGTGTGTGCTGCAAGAGTGTTTGTGATCTTTTGATACTGTCATTTGTTGGGCCATAGAACTTCTACCACTCTGCGTCATTCTGATCTATTTCTTATGTTGCTCCTCACAAGAATCAGATAGCTGCCATATACACTCAAATGGCTTGAACTAATGTTAATGATTTCAAAGTGCATGATGGATGATGGGATTTGTAAACAGGAAACAGGTTCATGCGTTGCATAATAAAGTTGCAGGTGTAACCACCTGGTCCTGTTGTATGCCTGTCAGCTAGACGCACACTAAAATAAGTTGTTTTAAAATGTGACCCTCAATAAATCCTAGATTTGATGAACAGACTTGTGTGTGTAAACTCATCATTGACTTTAGACAGGTTCACTGACTTGTGTCATCATTATGTAAGGGCTCGTTCACTTCGACTGTGTAATACCATATCAATCAGATCAAAGAAACACATCAGCTCACAAAGACGCTAGACAGTACCTTCACTCTTAAAGTCACACGTGACTACTGTTGACACTGGAGCTTGCTCTGATTTACCCTGAGGTCTTTTTATGTCAACAATCAAGGTGTTCAGCTACCAGAGCTTCAAGAACCTAACAAAGATTTATGTCCTTTATAACATTATTTGTGTCAAATGTGGTGTCAATATTTGCTCTCAGCCTGAATGACTATCTTTGTAAATGAAAAATGGGTGACTTTCTTAAAAACTTATTTTTGTTTGTTTATATATAGGATATATATATATATATATATATATATATATATATATATATATATATATATATATATATATATATATATATATATATATATATATATATATATATATATATATATATATATATATATATATATATATATATATATGTGTGTGTGTGTGTGTGTGTGTATAAGTATTTTTATATTTTAAAAAGATTTTGTAATGAAGTTTATTCAGATGTAATTCAGCCAGTTATTTTTTTAATCTCCATGAAAGTGTCAATACATTCTTATATTGTTATATGTGGCTTACAACTTTTCTGGCTGTATTAAATCTAATCCAATTGACAACTTAATCATCTTTTTACCAGCTGTGCTGTAGTCTAACATTTATTTTAAAAATTTGTCTCAATTTTCCTTTTGATAACATTTTTAAAAATATTATCCTGCTACAGCAGCTAATGAACTTGATTGAATATAGAATTCCTGCAGTCAAATGGGAGCATCATTACAATCCTAGATTTTTTCAATCATTTCTACTCAAAGATGATAGTGTAGTATAGTTTTTACAGCTCTCTACTTGTATAATAACTGCTGTTGTTCACTGATAATTATTGTCATCTTATTTTTAAATTCTTTTAAAATGGAAGCATACATAAGTGATACTTTTTATAACTTGCTAAATTTCATCATGTATTATAATCATTTTCATCTTAGAGTTAGAACTGTAACATATACCAAGACATTTTTTGTTTTGTTTTAAAGTTGATATATTGGAGCCTTTGACTATAAATATCTAAGTATGATTGTCACTGCCATCTAAATCTGTGTGTTGGGTCTTAGAGATGTTTTCATTCATACTTGAATACACTAACTGTGTGGGCTGTCAGTCAGACATCACAAATGTGTGACTGGTCAATACATCATTCATAACAGTCAGCACATCACAGATGTAAGACAACAGTCAGCACATCACAGATGTAAGACAGCAGTTAGTATGTCACACATGTATGACAGCAGTCAGCACATCAAAATTGTAACATTAATAGTTGACTATATTAGCCTTGTTTGTAATGAATGCTTACACTTATTCAATGGTTCATTAGGTTATGATTGATTCAATTATTTTTTTGTCCAAGTTATGCTTGACTGAACGATTTTTTAACATCTATGCAAGGTTCACTAAAAGTCAGTTTTTGTCAAAAAATTTACACTGAATACTTTGGTCATTGCTACAAAGAGAAGATTTTAAATTAATTCTGTAATAAAATGTAAACAATATCTCAATGAATGCTGGATGAACAACTGTTGGGGTGGGGTAGGGGTCAGAAGGGGTTTGAAACTATGTATGTGTTTTCCTTGGCATGCATAAAGATTAGTTTTCAACTCACCATTTGTCTCTCAAGAAACTCATTGAATGCGTCACAGTTGTGTATGATATACCTGTTCTAGGGCCAGTTCACCATTGACTTTTGATCATGTTTATCATTGTTTTATTTACTTGACACAGTTTTGCACCTCTATTATTTTGTGTAGAAAAAAAACTTTGGCATAATCTTTATTGAACATTTGTTTACCATTCACTTGATACTCTAAGAATGTTCAGTAAATTCTAAGAATGACTAGAATCTGAAATGTTCATGTGGTTTAAACTTATCACTTGTCTATGCAGATTTGTAGTCTGGGCTTTGCTTGTTTGGGAAATACAAAAATCTCTTCTGGATACATTTGTAGTTGTAGATATTTTATTTTTGAAAGGGACAAATCAAAGTCCCTGTCAACACAGAGAGAAATGATAGCTTCACTAGTTGATAGACTGTTGGAAAAACACTTATTTAATTCTAATTATTGCATCAAATATTTAATTAGTTGAAATAGAATTGTGTTATGTGTGTGTATATTTATGGTGAAAAAACTAATCACACATTTATTTTTTGCAAGCTACTGGTGTGGGAGAATTTAAAAACTATTTGTCATGAATGATTAAAAGAATACCCAATGAATGCACTTTCTCTCGTGTCTTGTAGCTACTTTATCCTAGCGTGAACTAACATTGTATTTGAATATAAGGTTAATCATTCAGCTGCTGTATGTATTTTGGCTCAAATTTTCAAAATTCCCTTGTTCTTTTCAAGGTAATACTGAGATGTTTTCTAGTTGTATGCTGTACATTGGCTGATTTCAATAAAAGGAAATATTTACGGAGTGAATGACATAAAGCAGGAGGATTGGTTGTTAAACTAGTCTCAAGATTTGGCTGTGAATAGTTGAAACCCTGTGAAGATGGACTACAGCAAACCCATAATGCTATCTCATTTTACCTGTCACCTGTCTCAGGTACCTACCGATTGACTGTCACCTGTTGCAGTTGATTGTCACCTGTTGCAGATACCTGCCAGTTGACTGTCACCTGTCACATGTATCTGCCAGTTGACTGCCACCTGTCTCAGGTGTCTGCCAGTTGACTGTCACCTTTGGCATTTGACTCTCCTGTTTCAGGTATCTGCCTGTAATTCTTCTACCCACTTCTCTTGTCCTTCTCTCCTACTCTGCTGTTGCTCCCACTACCCCAGGGGGAGCTGGACTAATCTTGACTTGGTCTCTACCAAGTTGCCAGTGCTGTGGCGTACCACATCGCATGCTTTTATTCAATATTTTAACTGCCAAGTTTAGGGATTCGTGTTTTTAAATCTTAAAAAATCTAACACCGCCATCTACTAATAGGTCGTGCCAGATATTTTTTTATGTTAAAAAGCCATCAATGTGGTGTGCGTGATTGTTTTTTTTAAAACATGGATGCTCCCAGAAAAAGGCAGTCGAGAAAAACTTGCCTGTATATTTATGTAATCTCAGTACTGTTCACTTAGTTACCGTACTGTTTACATCTGAGGGTAATGTTGACTTGTAAACAATTGTAACATTGCTCAATTCTAACCCTTTGTCGATGGTGACACCAGTGTACATGTGGTGCTGATGGCTAGAAATAAGATTTGTTTGTATTTACTGGTTGTATAGCTGTAATAAATACTTTCATTTATTCTACACACTTTTGTAGCTTTGTTTTATATTTGCTGTCACTTGTGTATTAACCAGTTTTTGTGTGTTGTTGATGTAAAAAGGATATGTAGTTTGTTAATCAAAGTGCAGAGAAAATATTTAAAAACCCTGAGACAACCCAATTATGACATCCCTAAAAAAAATTGGAACTTTAGACCTGTTCACCCCGCGTTAACGGTATGATGTCAAAATTAATACCCTTTTACACTTTATAAATGTTTCCAAATGCAGTAAAAAAACAACTAAAGCTTAGACGCCAATGTCAATGCTACATAAAAAAAAACCCTTTAACTTTTCAATTGCAATGCTAATTTTGGTGAGAACAGCGAGCAGGCCTGTGTAGTTCTGTTGTAACGTTTTACGTCTAAACACACAACACCAGCCACACGAAGAGCTCACAATAAGTAAACATGTGTTTGCAGGAGGAACTTACCCATCGAACACGTGGAAACATGCACCTACAAAGTTGGAAACTGGTCCATTACAAACAGCTCAAGTTGAGTGACACGATTTGCCCAAACGCGACCCACGGACAACTCGACATAAGTAAAAACTTAAAGAATAACAACGATGTTTCAAACCTGTAATTTTTTTTATCACGGTGAAATTAAAATTTAATTACTTAACAAAAACATCTTTAATTGGCGCAAATAAACTGTTTTGATTGCAAACACTGTTCAGAGATGTTCAAACCTGAAACACCTTAAGCCATTTGTTATTCAATTTTAACGATTACATTAGTTTTTAAAAATAGAATAGGTGTCAGTTTGATTGATGAATTCGTGAGTGTTGCTAAACAAAATGCTAGTTTCAACTGGTGTGACAATGGAAGTAGAAGGTCGTACTGGGGAAGTCGACGTTGTTCGGTGATTAATGACACGGACCCACTAGAAGCTGATCGACCAACTATCATTTTATTTGGTTGAAAAAAAAAGGTCTGAAGCGACTTGGTCGAGGACACAGGAAATAGGTCAGTGGTCGGAAGTCCCAGGTATTAGATGGCCGTGTCGTGAACGTCTTAAGTACTTGTCCATGGGGTCGGGCCTAGGTTAGATGAAGTCCTAAGCTTCTTAAGATAATGGGGTTCTTTATATGTCCAGAGGTCATGTTCAGAGGCGTAGCGATGGGAGGGGGGGGGGAAAGGGGGGACATATGTCCCCGGGCGCCGACCTTAGGGGGCGCCAAAATGGGTTGTAAAAACAAATTAAAATGTCAATTTAGCTGCATTTTTGCAGTTTGAGGGGGGGTGCAAATCGAAAAAGTTTGAGGGGGGGGGGGTGCTAGTCATAAAGTTGAGGGGGTTGCAAATTGAAAATTTGCTCCCGAGAGGGCGCCAAATTGAAAGTTTGTCCCCGGGCGCCGGGAAGGGCCGCTACGCCTCTGGTCATGTTACAAGTAATACTGGCCGTTATCCTTTTAATATATTCAATAAAAGACCCCAGGACATTGGGATGAAAATATATCGCTTAAAAAGTGTTGCAGCGTGTAGGTTTCGTTGTATTTCTTTTCTTGTAATCAATCCTCAGTTATATATATATATATATTTTTAAACTTGAGTATCAACCACTCGGGGCTTCAGTCACCTACAACTTGGGGCTCCAGTGACCTATCACTCATGGCTCCAGTGACCTACCACTCATGGTTCCAGTGAAATACCACTCCATTAAACAAAAATGTCCAAAATAAAACTTTGTTGTTGAACGTGTTTCGCGAATAGGAAAACTATATTCAACGTATTATTACAATATCGCGCACTGCAGCTGAATTTTTTATTCTACAATCCACCCTTTTTTCCCTATCAAATGTAATATTAAACTAATTAAATTAAAAGTACAAAATTAAATAACGACTATAATGCTGCTCTTATTAAATAAACCGGGAGTGATCTCCCCTAAACTTTCTCGAATATTCTTATATAAAATAACAGGGGATGGGAACTCGGCTATAGACATGATTTTTAATCCATTTTAAATACTTAAAGTCTTAAAAATAGAATAAAATCTCGTAGACAAAGGAATTGCACACCAAGTGAACGCCAAATAAAAAAGTGCATAATAGTGCGCAATATTATTAGTACTTTAAAAATTTACAATAGTTTTTTGAGAAATCGGAAGTAGCGTAAATTAGTACTTCCGGTCAACGGAAATTACTCAAACTTTAACAGAAGGTAGAAAATTATATCTTTTACTCATTTGTGAAACTTCATTTATCTATCTGAAATAGTACTCAAGTTATAGGCTTTTGAAAAATTCAAAGTAGAAAAAGTACCACTTCCGGTTATCGGAAATCGCTCAAAAGTTGATACGGATCTACGATTTTGATAAAATACTTATATATGAAATTTCATCAACCTAGCTGTAACGGTACTCAAGTAATCGTGTTTACACACAGACACACACACAGACACACACACAGACATACGGACAGAATTGCAAAGCCCAGTTTTTCAGACTGGATTACGCATAAAACCTTTTAATTTTGATAAATCTGGATTGATAATTTTTGCCCGATTAAAATAAGTCCTCTATACTTCGGATTTGAATAAGGACTGAGGTGTAATAAGGTAAAAATTGTTAAAATTTCAAGTGATTTTTGTGCACGATTACAATACTTTCTCTATACTTCGTATATACGAGAAAGTAAAAACAAGATCGTGTCCAAAGATTTCCGTTTCATAACAAATAAATTAATTGCCTAAAAAATGGAGTAAACAAGTTTAAAAACAACGAAACAAATGAAGTGAAATGCGTTAATAAGCAAATGACAAGCGGAATGTTGTAGAAGTAACTAAATACAACTGCTGCGGAAAACATGTCAACAAAAATAGAAAGTTAATCCCTATCTAAACAAATTAAAGACACGTTATACGTGCAAATAAAACGCAAGAGAGGCTAAAAAAAAGTTGGTCGTGGATAAATGGGAGACACGCGCTCATAAATCATTGTCGCGACCATTGTAAACAAACAGAGAAGCGCTTGACACCGTGACATGTTGGATGAAGATTTTTTTGGTTTGAAATAAAGCTATAGAGGTGTACACGTTAGATAGTTACCTGGACTACACAATCATTGGGGGGGGGGGGGGGGGGAAGGGTATTGGCCGAATAGGCTGGGTTCTAATCGATGTTCATAGAGATGGTTCTTTCTCATTCATCTTCTATTCTCGTTCGTGTCCAAGACATATGGGGCAGATGAAGTAGAGTTAATCTATTTTAACGACTTTGGCTAATGAAGAGATAGTGTGGTCAGCACCATGCCGACCCGTGTTGTTTTGCCTAACTTGAGTCAGGTACCCATCAGAGCTGGGTAAACTCGGGTACGTCCTCTACCATTCAACCACGCCGTCCCCTTATTTCTGTTTGCTGCAGCATTTAAAAATAAAACAACCTAAAACCCTTAAACAAATTAAAAAAACTCTACTTGACCAACGGATCAACCTTAATTTTTGTCCTAATTCTAAAACTTGCCGCAGAAAAAAACAAAGAAGCTAGAATAAATCAAAATATAAAGCAAACTAGTAACTAACTCGAAACTATCATCGTCAGAAGAAAAATATAGCCGTTAAAATCTGGTGATGAAATAAACCCATGAAGAAAAAACTTGGGTTGTGAACTAGGAGTGGACGAATAAACAAAAGCAAATTAAAACATGAAAATCCTAACAGTAAAACGGATAACTTTTACCCTCTCACGATCTAATTTATCTGGCAAAACGTGACTGCGTTGCCAGATATGGAACAGCGGCTAGTTATTAAGGTGTCTTTCTGTCGTCAGCAAACACATCCGCACTTTAGTAGTTAATTAATATGATAAAACATCAAATTGGTTTTGTTATATGTAATATAGTGGCTGTATACAAAACGCAAGATCTCTCTATAAAATCTGCTAATTTCAACGGTATCATTGCACCAAAAAATCAAAGCCCAAGAAAATGGAACTTTAATTTTTTTATTATTTTTGTTCGCAGTGACCCTAAGACACAATCAATACTCGTTTTTTTACAGCAATTATTGTTTTTCAATTATGGGCTTCTTTCCCTTTTTTCGATTTATTGTTAAAGCCAACTGCGTTTGCTGCGGATTTTCTGCTTTTACAAATTTATGTCGGCTTTATTTTCTTATGCTGATGTAGGTTGTACAGGCGAACATACAGTAGAAACAACATGCAGTAGAAACAACAGCAAACATACAGAAGAAACAACAGTTAATTCGGTCTCCATCCTAATCAAATCCATGGTCTATAACATTGAGGAAATAAAGAAATTCGAAAAAAAAACAACAACTCAACAACAAAACAAAACAAAACACAACAACATGTAAATGCAAATTATTGGAGAGATATATATGTATGTTTAAATTGACCTTCTTCTAATAGTTCAAGTAGGTGATCAAAACAAGGAAATAAAAAAAAAACGCCCCTTCCTTCCTACAGCCATTACATTAAAAATCAACTTTTAATCTTATCCCACACACGGAAGCCCTACCAGCGGCCAAACATCGTAATGTTTCACAATGTCTGAATAAATCACGCCCGCTGACTGAAAGATGTTGACAAACAATGACATAACAGGTTGGTGCGGCGGTATAAAATTAATTTTTCCCTCGTCAGACTAGCAGCAGATAAGTAGCCAGCCGTAACGACCTCCGCGGCAGGAATATGAAACACTGCGACAGGTAACAGGCGCAGGAGGCCAGTGCTTTGTCAACGCCCTGAGAGAGCCTGCCACAGTTTGTTGTAAGCCCATGAGGCCATTTCTTATGTGTGTGTGTGTTAGTACAGTCTAAGATGTCTTCGATTTTACTGCTGTTTCTTAGCTCTGTGTCGCTTATTTATGGACAACAATTTACCCCTGTGTCTTTCAGGTAGGATATTTTTTATTATGTTTTAGGCAATAATTTTGTTGTTTTTAAAACACATTTTTAAACGCTAGTTCAAAGTTTAAAAGATTGATATTTTAATTTTTATGAGTAATTTACATACAATAAATATTAAAGTATTAAAAAAAAAACGTTAGAAAAGTATCGTTTTGAATTTTTTTTTTAAATCTACCAATTATATAATTCATTACATTTTTTGTGTGTGTACACATGTTTAGTCAGATTAGTGACTACCATCACGCTTTTTGTACCATTAATTCAATTAATAGCTTTAGAGATGAACTTGCTAAAAGAATACCAGCTAGCTAATTATATCATTAATTAAATTAATTTTTTAATGAACTTGCACTGAACTTTATGCTGCACAGGTTACCATCACCGCCCACCCTCAGCGGGGCGCTCTCCCCCAACTACGCCCTCTACAACGTGGAGAAGCTTCACGAGAATAAGATCAGAGGACCGACATCGTTTGCTTTTCTAAATGGTGAGCGCTTCCTACCACTAGCTAGCAGGCATTCATTAAACTTTACCGGCCCCATCTTGTTAAACGAACTGCACAGAAATATAGAAAATGTTTCCTTATTCCGTCAACATTATGATTGAGTTTTAAATACGTTTTGTGAAGGAACGTTTAACTCAAGCTTTTTGACACCCACCAAATTAATTACCCACAAAAATGATTTAAAAATTATATTTAAACCCAGGTTAGTCTGGTGACGTCAACCCCACAAATAACCACAACACAACGCGAGTAGCGGCCCTTGAGTTAGGATTTAGAACATTGTTCTAAGTAGTGTTTTTTATGAGGGGGTGGTGGGAGTGGGTATCTTTGGTCTGCGTTTGTTGAATACGTCATAAATACGTTTTAAATATCCACATCTTAGTCTTGAGTTATTGTTATGAATATCCACACCTTAGTCTTAAGTTAATGTTATGAATGTCCACATCTACATCTCGAGTTCGTGTTATAAAATAAATGCCCTCACCCGAGTCCAAACACTGGACATTTGTCAGGAAAGGTTGCCAGGTCAGTTGGTGCAGCATCAGGCTAGACTTGAGACAGGTGTAGACCCACGGTCAGGTGCATGTGTGGGTCAGGGGTCAGGGGAAGTCATGTATAATGTGGGCTCTCATTATGGGAGTTGAACTTTACACGTAGGACGGTGTTAAGGGAGAGTTAATTTTACACGTAGGACAGTGTTAAGGGAGAGTTAATTTTACAGGTAAACCTAATGAGGGTTATTTTTTTTTTTACTAAAGATAATGTGTTAATTTTAATATTTTGGCCTAAACTCTATCCGACAAATAGTGCTATTATTTATGGTTCAATTGGGTCAGAATATTTACTATATTCTACCGATAAAACATAAATTAATAAGTTTAATTATCAAACTTTTAAGTTGTTATTTTAATAATTCGAAACAGAAATACATAAATGTAACTTTTTATTGTTATTCTGAGCACGTAGCAATAAAACGGACAGTAATGGCGGGAAGGTAATCACATAATATCTTTTTATTTAGTCATAAATCGGGCAAGTAACGTGCGAGAATTTCAAGAATGAGTTGTCGGTCGTGAACTTAGAGAGAGAGTGACGTAGGACTCAAATGATGTAGATGTATGGGACAGCCGGGTTGACTTTTATGTCGGAGATGGTAGTGGAGTTTAGAGGGAATAGAAATAAAAGCAGAAGAGGGGGATCGTCTGCGAAATGGTGACAGTTCTGTCAGAGTGGTAGTACAGTTTATGAGTGGCTGATAGTTGATGGTTGTGGGTGTGTATCTTGTGTGTATGTGTCTTGTATGTGTGTACAGTTTGTGAGTGGCTGGTAGTTGATGGTTGTGTGTGTATGTGTCTTGTGTATGTACGTGTGTGTGTCTTGTATGTGTGTACAGTTTGTGAGTGGCTGGTAGTTGATGGTTGTGTGTGTATGTGTCTTGTGTATGTACGTGTGTGTGTGTCTTGTATGTGTGTACAGTTATGTGAGTGGCTGGTAGTTGATGTTTGTGTGTGTATGTTTCGTGTGTGTGTGTTGTGTGTGTATGTGTACAGTTTGTATGTGGCTGTAGTTGATGGTTGTGTGTGTGTTGTGTGTTGTGTGTGTATGTGTATGTGTACAGCTTGTGTGTGGCTTGTAGTTGATGGTTGTGTGTGTGAGTTTCGTGTGTGTGTGTTGTGTGTTGTGTGTGTATGTGTACAGTTTGTGTGTGGCTTGTAGTTGATGGTTGTGTTCTCAACCATTCGTTTTCTCATGACTAGGTCAGATATAATTTTATCCAAGAAAATACGCGTGCTTCTTTTGTTTGTGCGTCTTTCTTGTGTGTATGTGCGTATGTGTAGAGTTGAAAAAATATACTTTATGGCAAGCTTAATTCTGGTTTTAAAAAATCGAATAATTAAGCCAAGCCTACATAGGGCTCACCTGCTTAAATAAAGGCTTTAAGACAGGCCTTTGTACGAATGATTGATAAGTGACAAAAATAAAGCGTGACTGGACGTCTGTCTCATAAGACAACAACCAGGGGCGTAAACAGGATACTGTCATGGGGGATGCGTTCAAATCCTCCATATATATATGTATATATATATATATATATATATATATATATATATATATATATATATATATATATATATATATATATATACACACACACACACACACACACACACACATATATATATATATATATATATATATATATATATATATATATATATATATATATATATATATATATATATATATATATTTAAGTATATATGTATTTTTGCATGTTTGTAGGCCAATTAAAAAAAATATACTAATACATATGTATACACACACACACACACACACACACACACACACACATATATATATATATATATATATATATATATATATATATATATATATATATATATATATATATATATATATATATATATATATATATATATATATATATATATAAATGTATATATATATGTTTATATGTGTATATATATATATATATATATATATATATATATATATATATATATATATATATATATATATATATATATATATATATATATATATATATATATATACACATATAAACATATATATATACATACATTTATATATATATATATATATATATATATATATATATATATATATATATATATATATATATATATATATATAAATGTATATATATATGTTTATATGTGTATATATTTATATATATATATATATATATATATATATATATATATATATATATATATATATATATATATATATATACACATATAAACATATATATATACATACATTTATATATATATATATATATATATATATATATATATATATATATATATATATATATATATATATATATATATATATATATATATATATATATATATATATATATATATATATATATATACACACATCATGAACATTTCTCCGACAGGTAATGTCTACACTGTGACGGCTGACAGAAAAGTGCTCAACATCGCTCCATGCATACCACAAGTTGTTGTGTCTCTGGCATTACCCGGATGTTGTAAGGCTATTTTTACTTTGATTCAACCCACTCTCTGTTGCTTATATCATCTACACAGGCCATATATGGTTTCCTTCTACACGACCATGTCCATTTCAGAAGCTCACAAAAAATGATAGTGCACATTTATATAACCCTTTCGATTAAACCCACCACACCAAACGTGACCAACGTACAACAACTTACAAAACACAACCACGCATAACCAGGGTTTCTTTCAGACATTTTTCTCTGGGAGAATTAAAACTTACCAAGGGAGGGGCACTTGAAAATTTTTACGAGGAGGTAGGGCGAGGGGGGTTGGGGGAGACTGGTTAAAGTGTCTATTTTCTGTATTAATAATATTTTATTCTATTACGTCCGGGACAGTGGACGTGCTCTGGAGTGGGGGGGGGGTGCCTGAAATTAACACTGCATATAACATACAACATTAAAAAACACCAAAACACAAAACGTCAAATAACCTCTCCACCTTACAGCGTCAGTCCAGCAGTGTGGGCTACTGACCAGCATACGAGTGGACAACACAGGTCACCTGTTGGTGTTAGATGCATACAGGGGCGTGTACCGGGTCAACCCAACCACAAGTATGTACTCACCCACAATTTCACACAGCCTGCACTCAGTACAATCTACTTAGTTATAGTAACAATGTATTTAGTTAGAGTAACAATGTATTTAGCTACAGTAACACTCTGTTTAGTTATAGTAACAATGTATATCACACACCCTTCATTCAGTACAATCTGTTTAGTTATAGTATCAATGTATTTAGCTACAGTAACACAGTACCAATTTATTTAGTTAAAATAACATACTACCAATGTACTTAGTTACAGTAACACAGTACCAATGTATTTAGTTAAGGTACCAATGTATTTAGCTACAGTAACACAGTAGCAATGTATTGTGTTAAAGTAACGCAGTACCAATGTATTTAGTTAAATTAACATGGTCCCAATGTATTTAGTTAAGGTAACAATGTATTTAGTTAGAATAAGAATGTATTTAATAACAAAGAAAACGAAGTGACTTCAAAATGGTAGAAAAACAAAAAATCTCAGTGTGTAATTCCTGTAGTGTCCATGGCAAAACCGAAACACTAAAATAAAAACCAAGGCGTCCATTGATATAGGCTCGCACCAAAGTGAGAGATTCATGGCCCCTTGGACCTTTTTTTTACAATATTATTTTTACCATTTAAAGTTAAGATGTTTCGTTCTTTTCAGTTGCGTAGGCTGCATTACACCATGTGATACATTAGGATGTATATTATGAGATACATTAGGATGCACATTATACCATTTGATACATTAGAATGTACATTATACCATGTGATACATTAGAATGTACATTATACCATGTGATAGATTAGGATGTACATTATACCATGTGATACATTAGAATGTACATTATACCATGTGATACATTAGAATGTACATTATACCATGAGATACATTAGGATGCACATTATACCATGTGATACATTAGAATGCACATTATACCATGTGATACATTAGGATGTACATTACATCATGTGATACTCTAACATCTGCAACCATACTATCGCCCCCTCCCCCCCAGAGGTTATTGAAACCTTGTACTCGTCAACGACGCCGGTGGGCGGGAGGACACCCAAATACCTGAACGGCATGGTTCAACATCCGGACGGTTCCATCCTGTTGTCTGACTCCAGCGACAGATTCGACGCTGTCAACGAGTTGTACATCATTCTAGAGGGCAGGACTAGCGGCAGGTAGGGCATTTGGGCAGAACAGGGGCAGGTAGGGCATTAGGGCAGTACAGGGGCAGGTAGGGCATTTGGGCAGGACAGGGGCAGGTAGGGCAGAACAGGGGCAGGTAGGGCATTAGGGCAGTACAGGGGCAGGTAGGGCATTTGGGCAGGACAGGGGCAGGTAGGGCAGAACAGGGGCAGGTAGGGCATTAGGGCAGTACAGGGGCAGGTAGGGCATTAGGACAGGTAGGGCATTAGGGCAGGACAGGGGCAGGTAGGGCATTAGGGCAGGACGGGGGCAGGTAGGGCATTAGGGCAGGACAGGGGCAGGTAGGGCAGAACAGGGGCAGGTAGGGCATTAGGGCAGTACAGGGGCAGGTAGGGCATTAGGGCAGTACAGGGGCAGGTAGGGCAGAACAGGGGCAGGTAGGGCATTTGGGCAGGACAAGCGGCAAGTAGAGCATTAGGGCAGGACAGAGGCAGGTAGGGCATTAGGGCAGGGCAGAGAGGGCATTTGGGCAGGCAAGGGACAGAGAGGGCTTTTGGGCAGGCAAGGGGCAGGTAGGGCATTTGGGCAGGGCAGAGAGGGCATTAGGGCAGGACAAGCGGCAGGTAGGGCATTTGGGCAGGACGAGAGGCAGGTATGGCATTTGGGCAGGACAAGCGGCAAGTAGAGCATTAGGGCAGGACAGAGGCAGGTAGGACATTAGGGCAGGGCAGAGAGGGCATTTGGGCAGGGCAGGACAAGCGGCAGGTAGGGTATTTGGGCAGGACAGGGGCACAGAGGGCATTTTGGGCAGGACGAGAGGCAGATAGGGCATTTGGGCAGGACAAGGACAGGTAGGGCATTAGGGCAGGACAGGGGCAGGTAGGGCAGGACAGGGGCAGGTAGGGCATTAGGGCAGGACAGGGGCAGGTAGGGCATTAGGGCAGGACAGGGGCAGGTAGGGCATTAGGGCAGGACAGGGGCAGGTAGGGCATTAGGGCAGGACAGGGGCAGGTAAGGCATTAGGGCAGGTCAGGGGCAGGTAGGGCATTAGGGCAGGACAGGGGCAGGTAGGGCATTTGGGCAGACAAGCGGCAGTTAGGGCATTTGGACAGGCTAGGGGCAGAGAGGGCATTTGGGCAGGACAAGCGGCAGGAAGAGGATTTGGGTAAGACAAGTGGCAATTAGAGCACTTGGGCAGAGTACGCAGCAGGTAGGGCATTTGGACAGGCAAGGGGAAGAGAGGGCATTAGGGTAGGACAAGAGGCAGAGAGGGCATTTGGGCAGGGTACTCAGCAAGTAGGGCATTTGGGCAGTATAAGCGGTAGGTAGGTCATTGGGGCAAGGCAATCGGAAGGCAGGATTTTTATAATGGGCAGGACAAGCGACAGGTAGAGCGGCATGTGGGTCTGTGTAACTGAAGGCAGGATCAGCGCCAATCTTTGTATCTTATGAGGTGGCCGGCACCCACCTGTAGCGGCACTAACGGGGATTTTAAAGTGTTTGTAGTGTATAGCGTCACATCATATGATATGTGTCTTGTTAACCTCTCGATATTGTCCCCCAGAATTTTACACCTGAACCCCAACACTAAGGCCATAATTGAGATGTTCAAGGACGGGTTTGCTTTCCCCAACGGCCTTGAGATCTCACCTGACGGCCGGAGTCTGCTGGTGGCTGAATCAGGCAGAGCGCGGGTACTCAGGTAAACTGGACATTTACAACATGCTGGGGACATTTACAACATGCTGGGGACATTTAGGAAACACTGTGGACATTTAGAAAAACAGAGGGGACATTTACAACATGCTAGGGACATTTAGGAAACACTGTGGACATTTAAAAAAACAGAGGGGACATTTACAAAATGCTGGGGACATTTAGGAAACACTGTGGACATTTAAAAAAACGCTATGGACATTTAGAAAAACAGAGTGGAGGCAAGGTGAAACATGTATCAAACTAAAATCGATATTAAAATTTGAAATTGAATCCCTGCTTTTGAATTCAGCATCAGCTTGGTACCGGAGACCTTCCGGCAAGTCAGCGTTTTTGCCGACAACCTGCCTGGTGTACCTGGCAACATCCGGCGTTCAGCGCGCGGGACGTACTGGGTCGGCCTGTCCTTGATCCGTCATGCTGGAATGGCTAACTCCATGGACATGTACTCAGCCAATCCCGCGGCCAGGCAACGAACTGTTTATGTAAGTCCCAAGCTACAAACTGTTTATGTATGTCCCGGACTACGAACTGTTTATGTATGTCCCGGACTACGAACTGTTTATGTATGTCCCGGACTACGAACTGTTTATGTAAGTCCCACACTTCGAACTGTTTATGTAAGTCCCACACTTCGAACTGTTTATGTAAGTCCCACACTTCGAACTGTTTATGTATGTCCCACACTTCGAACTGTTTATGTAATTGCCAGACTTCGAACTGTTTATGTATGTCCCACACTTCCAACTGTTTATGTAAGTCCAACACTTCGAAATGTTTATGTAAGTCCCACACTTCGAACTGTTAATGTATGTCCCAGACTACGAACGGTTTATGTAATTTAGACACTTCCAACTGTTTATGTAAGTCCCAAACAACGAACTGTTTATGTAAGACACGGAAACTCGGTGAAATGTTGTATGTAGCATTCTACCGTGTTGAGTGTGTTGGCTGGTAGTGAGGTGTGTTGGCACGTGTTGATGTGTGTTGGATATTACTGTTTGTTTTGATGACATACAAGAAGACTTTCATTTATTGTGTTCCCAGTCAGTAGATTTGAACACGATTAAAAGCTACTACCCACGGTACGGGATGATCGTAGAACTGGATTCTACAGGCAAGATTGTAGGCAGTCTCCATGATCCGACTGGTAAGTTTTGATTGGAGTACACCCATCGTATCAATTGTACATGATTGTTGTACATCGTATCAAGTGTACATGATTGTTGTACACCAACCGTATCAAGTGTACATGATTGTTGTAGACCAATCGTATCAAGTGTACATGATTGTTGTAGACCAATCGTATCAAGTGTACGTGATTGTTGTACATCGTATCAAGTGTACATGATTGGTGATTGGTATTTTGTTTTTAGTCACGGGCTAGCCTTATCAAAACTTTTAGTGGTTACTGTAGAGTGGAAGAACCTGAAGTATGTTTTTTGTTTTTGTGACGGCTTCGTCTTCAGTTATGTCTTAAGTTGTGACGTAGTACACATGTTTTCTTTTGGCAGGCTTCACCTTCAGTTCTGTCTTAAGTTGTGACGTAGTACCCATGTTTTCTTTTGGCAGGCTTCACCTTCAGCTCCGTGTCTGAGGCCGCTGAGAACGAGGGCCTCTTGTACGTCGGCACCCCCAGTAACCCCTTCACTGGACGTATCATCCTGCCCCAGGGTGACGGGCGAAACGTCACGATCGACAGTGTCATTCAGGCAAGTCAGCACCAGTGGTTTGTCCTATAGACACAGTTGACGAGATATTTCTTGTTATGATCTGGCTAGAACTCAGACAAGACGTTCAACAAACTGCATAAGCACATATAGAGCACCCCAACATAATGTTGATCAACTTTGATCAACACATTTGACCAACACACCTGACCAACACACTTGACCAACACATTTGACTAACACACGACCAACACACTTGACCAACACACTAGACAACGCACTGGACCAACACACTGCACCAACACAATTGACCAACACACTTGACCAACACACTTGACCAACACACTTGACCAAAACATTTGACCAACACACTTGACCAACACATTTGACCAACACACTTGACCAACACACTTGACCAACACACTTGACCAACACATTTGACCAACACACTTGACCAACACACTTGACCAACACATTTGACCAACACACTTGACCAACACACTTGACCAACACACTTGACCAACACACTTGACCAACACATTTGACCAACACACTTGACCTACACACTTGACCAGCATAATCGAACAACACACTTGACCAACACACTTGACCAACACACTTGACCAACACACTTGACCAACACATTTGACCAACACACTTGACCAACACATTTGACCAACACACTTGACCAACACACTTGACCAACACATTTGACCAACACACTTGACCAACACACTTGACCAACACACTTGACCAACACATTTGACCAACACACTTGACCAACACATTTGACCAACACACTTGACCAGCACACTTGACCAACACACTTGACCAACACACTTGACCAACACACTTGACCAACACACTTGACCAACACACTTGACCAACACACTTGACCAACACACTTGACCAACACACTTGACCTACACAATTGACCAACACACTTGAATAACACACTCTTGTATTCCTCTCACCAGGTCTTAAGAAGCCGCTGTCAGATTAGCGAGGAGAATTTAGCTCAAGCTAAAGAAACGCTCACCACTTACCTCAACAAGCTCAGCGCTGCTTCCTCTACAACTCCAGCTCCCACAACGGCTGCCGCTACCACCCCGGCTCCACCACCAGCTGCAAGCACCACCCCTACTGCCCCACCAGCCGCCACCACAACTGTTAAACAAGTTCCGTAGAACACACAACCCGGGCAGCCATAGCAACCAGCCAACATGGTTGAGTTGTCAAGTTTCCTGCTTGTCAAGTTTCCTGCTCTGTCAAGTTTGCTATGGGTAGTCATAGCAACAAGACGCAAATATCCGTATGACTTAGTTTATCGTAATTCGATAGGTTCCTTTATAAATAAGAATTACCTGCATACCTGGATAACAGTTATTAATATCTGTAAGCCATCATACAAACGTGTATGTCTACAATGTTAGTATATCACATATTGCCTTCAATTTCCATCTTTTTGTGTTTTCATCTCGTAAGTAAAAAAAAAAACAACAACCAGATACATAAGCCACATGCAATGGTATATTCTGCTTGTGTGTCTTCCATTAACTAAACCACTTGATAAAGTTGTCTACCGTATCACATTACCTCCCTTCATATCGTCACTTGTGTTTTTCTATTTCGCCATGTTTGGTGCCTCTCACACTATTTGATTCATTAAAATGATTAAATTGTTGAAGAATATGTCAACTTTTTAACAATTTCTTGTGAAGAAACTTATAGAATTTTTTTTTCTAATAATAACACGACCACAACCAACAGTAACTGCGATACAAACTAGTTACAGAAGCAGTACAAGTCATACGATACCAAATAGCTACAGTAGTAGTACAAGTCATACGATACCCCATAGCTACAGTAGTAGTTCAAGTCATACGATACCCAATAGCTACAGTAGTAGTACAAGTCATACTATACCCAATAGCTACAGTAGTAGTACAACAAGTCACATGATACCCAATAGCTACAGTAGCAGTACAAGTCACATGATACCCACTAGCTACAGTAGCAGTACAAGTCATACGATACCCAACAATACTTTGGTCACTGGAAATCAGTTTTTAACTCTATATTTACAATACATACAATTATACTTGGAAAATAGAACTGCTGAATATAGTTCAACTAAAATGTTAGGAAATAATTATACTTGGAAAATAGTACTAAAATGTTAGGAAATAATTTCTTACCTCTATATAAACATTACATACAATTATACTTAGGAAATAGAACTTTTGAAATATAGTACAAGTGAAATGTTAGGAAATAATTTCTTAACTCTATATTTACATTACATACAATTATACTTAGGAAATAGAACTTTTGAAATATAGTACAAGTGAAATGTTAGGAAATAATTTCTTAACTCTATATATACATTACATACAATTATACTTGGAAAATAGAACTGTAGAAATATATTTCAACTAAAATGTTAGGAAATAATTCACTGGGTCCACTTGGTAGTATTTCTCATCGTCATATGGTTATATACACAGAAAAGGTATGTAAGTATGTATGACTGAATGTGATTTTATTTATGTATATACGTGTGTATATTTGGTGTATGTATGTAGGGGGTGTGTGTGTATGTGTTCCATTTGATGTCTATTCACTTTCTCTAATATTTCTTAGTGTGTTTTGCACATGCGCGATATTCTGCTTCGTTTCGCTCCAAGTTCTCGTGTGTCCGAAATCACTCACCCACGAAATGTTACTGAAATGCATCACTCACGAAATGTGTCCCGTACGACATATATCACTCACGAAATATTACTGAAATGTATCACTCACGAAATGTATCACTCACGAAATGTGTCATCCACAAGATGTGTCAAGCAAGAAAGGTCTCAGTCACGTGGTATTCCCCGCCTACGTCTTGTGCTTGTGTTTACCTTCAAATCTCTTTGAACTTTGACCGTAGCTGCCACGTGACTTACCAGTCACGTGACCTTGTTTCAGCTCCACCTTGCTGATGGATTTATCCTGCTTGAGCTGACGTACCTGTTGAAACAAGGGTCGCTCCCCTTTCCCCGGGGGGTGCAAGGAATGGCTGTGGGGGTCATAAACCAGGCCCCTGAGGTCGCTCTTCCGTGAGACCGGAATGACCGGCCGGCCGTGTCCGTCTTTAATTTTACCAAGAAACGGCACTTTCTTAGGCGGCTCGGCTCGCGTGACGTAGACCTTGACCGGGCCGAGCAAGGCGGCGTAAACACAGTAGCAGCATCCGGCGCGGCACGGTAGAGACAGCTTCATGGCCAAGTTGGCCGGCTCGCTGGACTTCCGGCGCTTGGTTTTCTGGGCGAGGGGAGTGACGTCAGCTGGGTTTGTCAATATTGGTTTTGGTCGTGGGATACGGGCGTGTTTTGATGGGGGTAGGGTTGGTGCGAGTTGGGTATCTGGAAGGGTTAAATGTGGTTCGATGTGGTGCACGGGTACTGGTAGTTGTGGTGTAATGTGGTGCTGTGTAGATGGAGACAAGGAATGTGAAGGTACGCTGTGGTGCAGGCCATGTTTATGGTAGTGGTGGCGATGGTACTGTTCTACAGCGTCATCCGATCCGCTGATGATGATCCTGGGCAGCGTGAGCACAGATTTCACGCCTTGAATGTTCCCTACATCACTAGTGTGACCTTTGACACCGGAAGTTCCACTGAAGGTCTGGCTTTTGGACAGCATGAGCTGGAAGAGCCTGGTGTCAAGTTCAAGGTCTCTGTGACCCAGGCTCGGCACATCTCGTCTGTTGATGTAAGCACTCCGCTGCAGACGATACTCCAGCACGTGCAGGTCTCTCCCAACGTCTGCCATGACCGGACATATAATGCAGACAAAAAACAAATCACCGCTGAAAATCAGCTGATCGGGTCACGTGACCGGTTCAGATCTGGAATTTAACGACAGACATTTTAGAAAATCAGAAAAAAGGAAAAAAAGTCATGTTGATAAACAAATTCCAAACAACGAATCACGTGCCAACACACCACCAGGTCTTCTGTACCCAACTCTATCAATCATAGGACGAGTCAACCTGGGGGGGGGGGGGGAGTGAAGGGGGGGGGGACAGGATGTAGCAAGTAAATTAAGTAATGAAACAACTAAATATTACCAAGTCTACGTTTTCTGTAGTAAAAAAACATTTGCTGTTGACTGAAGAGAATCGATGATGTTGTTGTGTAAGTTTTTTTTAATGCTGCACGGAGTAACATTTAAGTAAAGAAAATATTGATAGATCAACGGTAAAGAAATATGTATTGTGTAGTAACATTGGGAAGATGAAATAATGCTCTTTAACAGAAATGTCTTGAGAGTTACTCACCCTTGACTCATTCAAAGAAACTGAAACTACATGAGCTCAGATGGGCTTAGTAGTGTGTCTGGCTCAGTCAGGGGGAGTAAGTGATGTTGGGTTGGTTGCACAATTTCAATATACCGACGTCAGAGAAACAGATGGACTACACCGTCTACGTCATCTGCCCAATATACAATTTAAATTAATGAAAAGAAATAAATTTACAATCACTTACGTTATGTATTGACGGAACTTAATTTAAAAACGAAAATCATACCGTAAAATATTCAAGAAACAGAATTAGCTCTATAACGTGTTGATTATTTTACACATAGTGAATTATAGCTTAAACACTGATTGGCGTTTAGTTGGGTGTTTGAAAACAAGAACTATGCACAACGTAGATAGTAACAAGAACGGCTACTCTGACCAACACCCATCTAATAGAGTTGCCTACCTTCGTCACTTTGTTTTATCTCAACCTCCTCCCCCCTCACCCCTGTTTCCAGCGGTTCAATAACCGAAGCTGCTCGCGTGAAGCAACTGATATTTAATGAATATTAATGGCTGCAGGAGGGTGGGGGGGGGGGGGGGGGGGTGAGGAGGGGAAGGGTGGCTGTTGATGGGAGAACTGTTCTTTAAACCCAACACCAACCAATTAAACCAGACAATGGCGATGACGTGTAAAGTTCTTAAAAGAAAATTTTGATTCGTAAAAAAAAAGAATTAAACATTGCAACGTGAAATGGGCGTGTAGGTTACTGTGACCTTTGAGAACTACGTCATAGTGATAAGCCGGACATTAGGTCCAACAATAGTTTTTTTTTTTTTTTCAAATTGTTGGTTACACAATAATATCAGCGTCAGGGGATAACTGGTGTTGCAACTTCGGCGTTTCAAGTTACCCCACGTTGTTAAAGTGGGGGTGGGGGGAGGGGAAGGGGTCGTACATAAATGACATAATAAAATCAGGTTATTGGGAAAGATTGATGGGTGGGTTGGGGAAATAATTGTCAAGTGGCATTACTGTTGATGACTGCTGTACTCGTTAACCAAACATTTGATGGGGGTCATGTTTTTGTTCGAGTTGTGGGGAATATTTGGGGAGGGTTGGAACTTTGTGATGTCATAGAGAGTTGGTCTGGGTTTGTGACGGCATTGTGATGTCACAAGAAAGGTTTTGTAGTGACATGTGACGTCATTGTGAGTGGGATGGGGGGGGGGGGGGAAACAAAATTCATCAACATCGCGTGACGTCACGTATCTCTATACAGGGACGGCTCATTAAACTGCAATCAAGTTTTTATTTATTAATTAAAAAAAAACACACTTCAAGTCGTTAAAAAAAGAGCTAATAACTTTGTGATCAGTGAGTGCAAGATGCCCTACCAACAATGGGCCCTTCACGCTTGATTGGAGCTTAAACGTTGATGTAAGAGCCGCACAGTTAAATGATCTAATAATATTCGGCTCAGTGGAGAGTCGGGTTTTATAAGGTTTGGCTCAATACAGAATAAACGACGGCTCAAGTGAGGCTGGCATGAAACATTTTAAACTTAAAGTTAGTTTTAGCCACTACACATTGATTGGAAAATAATAACACAACATTGTGGTTTAAAGTAGGCTACATTATGTAATCACATGTAAAAAAATTTGGACTGGTCACATTAACTAAAGCCATGATACCCAAGTAAATAAAGCCATGATACCCAAGTAAATAAAGTCATGGTACCCAAGTAAATAAAGCCATGATACCCAAGTAAATAAAGTCATGGTACCCAAGTAAATAAAGCCATGATACCCAAGTAAATAAAGCCATGATACCCAAGTAAATAAAGCCATGATACCCAAGTGAAATAAAGCCATAATACCCAAGTAAAATAAAGCCATAATACCCAAGTAAAATAAATCCATGATACCCAAATAAAATGAAGCCATGATACCCAAGTAAAAAACATGATACCCAAGTAAAATAAAGCCATGATACCCAAGTAAAATAAAGCCATAATACCCAAGTTAAATAAATCCATGATACCCAAATAAAATGAAGCCACGATACACAAGTAAATGACAGTTTGCTAATCTGATGACCTTCAAGTTCGGCTCTACACCAACAACCTCCAACTACAGGTGTTTTGAGACTAAAGTTATAAACATAGTTCAGTGACGGAGTAAGCTGATAAATGAAAAATAATTTCTTTCGAAGAACCCATCCTGCAAACTAAAAAAGAAACCAGGGCCCATAAGCCTACGTCTCTCTCAGAAGCCTTATATGGCTTTACGGCTTTTGCACAATTTAAAAGATTGAATGCCCCCAATATAAATCTTCATTAAAAGCTAAAACAGTTCTCCGTTAACCTTTAATGAAAAATTGACGCAGATTATTTCTCAATCT